ATTGCAAAGTTGTCAAATGAATATAGCTACAAACAGATTTTCGAAGACAGTGGCTGCCGTTCCTCTGCCGTTCCTCTGAATAGAAGTCGTCAGAGGAACCTTTTCATACCTCCTATTTGGATTAATTGCAACAGAACCTATTAAGTGCCTCCTATTGGGTGTAATTGCAACAAAATTTATTAAGTGCCAAAGAAACTTGAATTAACGTCGTTGCCAGAACTTTGGATTAAATCAAGAACCTGATTATCAATTATCAGCTATTCAAGAATCCACCAAACTCCAGGTATTTATCAACTCGCGAACTATTGTAAACTCTCTCTCTCAAAAACGGTCATTTAAACCTTAATATCGAATCTATCGACATATTGAAAAATATGTATTTCTTAGCACTACACATTAAACAATTGTTATGTTAATCTAGTCTCTGAAAGAATCACTTCCGATGTGCTATCTCTCACCCCCTCCATCCAGAATCTGAACGAACTGTTATGCGACCGCTGGCGTCATCTGTTTCGCGGTTTCCGTGTAAACCGAGATGCAATGGTATCATCTGACAGGGCATCAAGGAGGTGCCACCCTTCGATTACACTAATGTCAAAAATATACTTTTTTGCAGTTGTTGCAAATGCCAATAAGAGTTTTTTGCAGTTGTGGCAAATGTCAATAATTTAGTTTTTTGCAGTTGTTGCCAATGTGAAAAAGATAGTGTTTTGCAATTATTTCAAATCTTCTTGGTGCCATATCAGATTCCTGACGTCGGCGACACCTGGCGTAGGTTTGTAATCCGCCAAGGTGTATACTAGGGAAAGTTACTACCCAGAGTGGTTTCCCGTTGCCTTCTCTGGGGCGCGATGTTACGCGAGGGGAACTAATGCCTTCCGGGAGGACTTTTATGGGGAACTGGCCTCCTATTTAGTCGTTATTGGCAAGGAGAAAACCCGGAAAACTCCAAGCAGCCAGCCTGTCCGATCGCGGCGCGAACCCACGACCGAACTCCCAGTGTTTAGGGTACGAAGACCACTCGGCCACTGGTGGGCCGAGTGGTCTTCGTACCCTAAACACTGGGAGTTCGTATTTCAAATGTCAAAAATATTCTTTATCACAGTTGTTGCAAATGTTAAAGTATAGGAAAAATATAGTGTTTTGCACTTGTTGCAAAAATTGTCAGAAATATTGTTTATTGCAGTTGTTGCAAATGTCAAAAATATTGTTTATTGCAGTTGTTGCAAATGTTTAAAACATAAGAAAAATTTAGTGTTTTGCAATTATTGCAAATGTCAGAAATATTATTTATTGCAGCTGTTGTAAATGTAAAAAACATACATTTTTTCCAGTTGTTGCAAATATAAAAAATATAGTGAAAAATGTAGTTTTTTGCAATTATTGCAAATGTCAGAAATATTTATTCATTTGTTTTTTTAACCATGTACTGTTTTATATTTGTGGTGTAGTAAACACTAGTATTGTGTTTTATTCCAGAGTTGCCATGTGTCTTTAAAATAAAACACAATACAGTGGTACCTCTGGATACAAAATTAATCCGTTCCGAAACTGAGATCGTATCATGAAAATGTCGTAAGATGGATCAACTTTTCCCATACGATTACATGTAAAACCAAATAATTCGTTCCAACGCGAAAAACATACTCAAATTAAAGCCAAGTAATACATTTAAAAAAATAACTGTAGTAAGAAAAACAAATGAAAAATGCGAACTAATGTAACATCGTATGGTGAGTTTTTGTTCGTATCGTGGAGCAAAAATATGTTCGAATTTCATGTCGTATCCTAAAAATTTCGTATGCTGGGGCGTTCGTAACCTGAGGTACCACTGTACTAGTGTTTACTACGCCACAAAAGTCAGAAATATTGTTTATTGCACTTGTTGCAAATGTCAAAAATGTAGTGTTTTGCAATTATTGCTAATGTCAGAAATATTGTTTATTGCAGTTTGTTGCAAACGTCAAAAATATTGTTTATTGCAGTTGTTGCAAAAGTTAAAAATATACTTTATTGTAGTTGTTGCATATGTGAAAATATAGTCAAAAATACAGTGTTTTGTAATAATTGCAAATGTGAAAAATATTGTTTATTGCAGTAGTTGCAAATGTCAAAAATATTGTGTTTTGCAATTACTACAAATGTCAGAAATATTGTTTATTGCATCTGTTGTAAATGTAAAAAATATAGTGAATAATGTGATGTTTTGGAATTATTGCAAATGTCAGAAATATAGTGTTTTGCAGTTGTTTCAACTATCAAAAATATTGTTTATTGCAGTTGTTGCATATGTTAAAAATGTAGTGTTTTTCAGTCGTTGCTAATGTCAAAATTATAGTAAACAATAACGTGTTTTGAAATTATTGCAAATGTCAAAAATATTGTTTATTGCAGTTGTTGCAAATGTAAAAAATGCAGTGTTTTGCAGTTGTTGCATACTCAGAAATACAGTGTTTTGCAATTATTGCAAATGTGAGATATACTGTTTATCACAATTGTTGCAAGTGTCAAAGATATAGTGTTTAGCAGTTGTTGCTAATTTCAAAAATATAGTGTTTGGCACTTGTTTGAACTATCAAAAATATTGTTTATTGCAGCTGTTGTAAATGTAAAAAATATACTTTTTTGCAGTTGTTGCAAATGTCAAAAATATAGACAAAAATATAGTGTTTTGCAATTATTGCAAATGTCAGAAATTTTGTTTATTGCAGTTGTTGCAAATGTAAAAAATGTAATGTTTTGCAGTTGTTGCATATGTCAGAAATACAGTGTTTTGCAATTAATGCAAATGTGAAAATTATTGTTTATAGCAGTTGTTCTAAATGTAAAAAATATAATAAAAAATGTAGTGTTTTGCAATTATTCCGAATATCAGAAATATTGTTTATTAAAGTTGTTGTAAATGTAAAAATATACTTTTTTGCAGTTGTTGCAAATGTCAAAAATATAGTTTTTTTCAATTATTACAAATGTCAAACATAGTTTTTTGTTATTGTTGCAAATATCAAAAATATAATTTTTTGCAATTGTTGTAAAAGCGAAAAATATATCTTTGTTGCAATTGTTCGAAGTATAAAAAAATATACTTTTTTGCGATTGTTGCAGATGTGAAAAGTATAGTTTTTTGCAATTGTTGCAAATGACAGAAATTTAGTTTCTTGCAATTGTTTTAAATGTCAGAAATATAGTTGGTAGCAATTGTTGCAAAATGAAAAAAATTCTAATTTTGCAAAGCTTATTTAAGGTGATATATATTTTTTATAAATAAATTCGTAAAGTAAAAACTATAAAAGTTTCTAGTAAAGTTGAAATTTTTTATTAGTGTGTTGTTGCAAAACTAGGAAAAATAGTTTTTTGCAGTTGTTGCATAATTTTAAAGCTGATATAAATACTCTATGGATAAAATTATATAGCAAAGCTAATAAATATGTTTTTCAAATGTAAAATTTCTATAATTTTATAGTTGTTTAAAACATAAAAAATCTTTTTATTTTGCAATTGTTGAAAAATTATGTAGAATTTGTGTTATTTGAAAGGATTTCATACCTGATATAGATTTTTTAGTGATTAATTCTTATAGCAAAGCTGTTAAAGATCTGCTTTACAGTTGAAATTGTTGAAGTCAAAAATTGTTGCAAACGTAAATGTATATAGTTTTTTGTTGTTGCAAGTTTATAAAAAGTCTTTAATTGTTGAAAGGTTTTTATAGCAAATATTAAATATTTACAGATAAATTTTTAAATCAGCGCTGATAGGGATTTGCTTCCAATTTTAAATTAGTTTATTCTGAAAGTTGATGCAAATGAGAAAAGTATAGTTCTTTTAAATTGTTGCAGAATGAAAATAAATTTATTCGAAAAAATTCGAAAAAAATTCCGAAGCCAGTGTAACGTTTTTATAAATAATTTCGTATAGCAAAGCTGATAAAAATCTGCTGCAATTTTGAAACTTTCATTTCAGAAGTTGTTACAAAGTGGAAAATATTTGGTTGTTGCAATAATTTATAAATGTAAAAATTTCAGTTGTTGGTAAGTTTTTGAAGCTAATAATGCTAATAACTTGCTAATAATAAAAATCTATAGCAAAACTGATATAATTTATTTTAAATTTACAATTAATTGCTCTGAAAGTTCTAGCAAATGTGGCAATTTCAGTTTTTTTTTTAAATTGGTGCAAACGTATAAAAAATGCTACTATTTGGAAAATATTGAAAGCTGATGTAGATTTTTGATAGTTGTATTAAGGAAGATAAACATTTGCATTAAATTCAAAATCTTTTTTATATTCAAGTTGTTGCAAATGTGAAAGATATAGTTTTTCTCGTTGTTGCAAAATATAAAAATATTCTACTTTTTCAATGCTTAACAAAGCAGATATAATACTTTTTAAAAATAAATTACAATAGTGAAAATAATAGCGATCTGTCTTGATCATGAGACTTCTTTATTCTGAATGTAGTTGCAATAGTGAAAAATTTAGTATTTTGCAATTGTTGCAAAAATTAAAAAATTGTACTTTTTAGAATATTTAAAGCGCATATCAAGATCTATAAATTAAATATTTAAGACAATAGCAATAACTATTTTTTAAAAATCTGTAATTTCAATAATAAAACTGATAAAAATCTGCTGTAATTTTAAGTCACTTTTTTCTTTTGAAAATTATGCAAATATTAAAACTTTAATTTCTTGCAATTGTTGCAAAATTTTAAAAACTTTTAGTTATTAAGAACGCTCTCGGAGCTGATATAAATAAATTTTAGAGGTTAATTCTCACAGGAAATTTGATAAAAATTTGCTGTAAGTTTGAAATTATTTTATTATGGAGATTGTTGCAAATATGGTATATTCAGTTTTCTCAATTCCTGCAGAATTAAAAAAAACTGCTGTTTAAAAGGTTTTCAGAGTTGCTGTCAAATTTCTATGGATTTATGTTTAAAGGAAAGTTGATTCTTAAATTTAAAACTGTTAAATTTAAAATTATCTTTATTTTTTGTAATATACCCCATAATACAAATCCAATTAGGTCATATGTTGTAAAGTAATAAAGAAAATTAATTACTACACTTCCTTATGTCCCAAAACTTGCAAAACTTCATAAGAATGTACACCTGTGCCATTTTTACTTTGGAAAAAAGATCTGAGAGCAATTGGTTCGGCCAGTTTCCATAGACGGCGTTTGACGTCTGGTTCCATATTCTTAAACACGGCTTTAGGCAATATGGCCAAAAAGAAATCTGAAAATAATTAAAATAAACTAGAAATGAAGTAAGCTGTTTATAAGTTTTCCTTAACGAATTCTATATAAAAAGAGAGTAGCCAGAGCTATTTTGGTAGCATCAATTTTATAAACTATAGAAAACACTTACATTTAAGATAGATCTACAGATAAATGTTTAATAATATACTGCTCTCTATATGTCAAGATGTTTTACTTTAAAGTTTAATCAAATATCAAACAAAAAATAAACACTTAAAATTAATAGTTAGTTTTTGCTTTCGACCATGCCTATGATATGGAAAAAATTGTACGTAAAATTTGATCACAAGCCAGTGAGAATCAGTAGTGTGTAATAAAAAATTGGCAATCCTCTCTTTCCCTACAGATACACACACAAACACATATATAGTATATCTCTATACATGGTTTCTATGTAAGCCTGTGTGCTTCATCGAGAGATTTTTAATAGATGGTGTTACGTTTTGAAGTGGAAATTGTAGACTAAGCTGCACGTTTTTTGCAAGGGATACTATTACCTCCAAAAATACAGAGAAGTTCCGGAACACTATCTGAGAGTTTTCCCAACTGCTGCCAGTGTAAGTTTCGTGTTCAAACACGACAATTTTCACACGCATAGAGATGCACTGGTTATTGACTTTATTGATAGTGAATTTATTTGTCACATATAAATGCCGACAAGAACTCCTGACTTAAATTCCATAGAACATGTGGGATGTTTTAGAAAATTCGTTGCAGCCTGTCTGCTTGACTGAGATCTTTACTCTTACCACAATATATATGTGGTAAGAAATGAGATCTAGCATATCCGGAACAGAGCAAACTGATAAATTTCTCAGATGTAATGAGCCGAATCGAAAAGTGTCCCAGACTGGCAGACTCATTCGAGTATTACTTCGGTTATCCGGCCATTACAGACAAGAGTACTGTCACAATTTATGTTTTTAAACTGTATCTCAAACAATAGGAAAAAGGAGTACTCAGTTTGAGTTTAAGAATTTGGAAGTTATAACATTCAGCGATGGCACGTTACTTACAATGAACAACCAAATATGTACTAATTAATGGATACTCGAATATTTACTGAAATGATCGTTTACAGATAACCACTAGCACTACAAAAAGCAAGCAGAAATTCAGTGAAAACTATACAGACTTCATAATTAGTTATATTGTAAACAATTCCTTGAAATACGTAACATCTTTTGTTAAAGAAGTAAAGACCACTTCACGTGAAATTTGCATTACTTACATTAAATTACGAAAGAATAAATACAAATTTAGGAATGGGACGATATTAAGTAAATATTTTAAGTTAATTAAAAATTACTTGCATTTGTAATTTGATAAAAATTACAATTCAATAAAGTAACTTAAACACGTTATCTATCTTAAAATAGTGACATATTTACCCAAAAACTGCTTTTTATCAACAAATGGCAAAGTTATAACATCGCATTTACTTTTTTTTTATATTATTATTACCGTACTGTACTAATCTTTAGTACACGGAAAACTACTAGTTTTCCATTCGTTTCTGACCTTTGGAGGCTTAATAAGTCCCGAGTCCGTAGACTGGTATAAAAAATTAAAAAAGGTAAACAGGTTAACAAAGAAAATATAATNGATACAAAAAAAAATCACATGCCTTAACTCGAGTCAATCAGACTTAATGAAGGTATTATTAGTTATTCCAATCTACAAATTTCATATAAAATTCATTTGTACCCACAAAATTAAGTCTTTTGCACTTTTATGATAATGAATAGATATGAAAATTATTTTTTAAATAACATCTCATAATAACTGACAAAAAACAATTTTGTTTATGAGCTAGTTCATAGTTTTATTTTTAAATTCAAATACTTTTCAACAGAGATTTTTCTTATAATTTAATAAAATTACTTTTTTAGATCGTCAATGCTTAAATTTTATATCTTGTTATAACTAAAAATTGTTGGACTTCTTAATGGCGTCATTATAGTTCTGCGACAATCGAGTAAGTGCCTTTGCCTTATTTCTTAAACAAAGTAATAGAAAAAAAGTTGTGCAACTAGTAATAATATTTCCTTTTTCACACTTTTAACTTATAAACGTAGTGTTTTTTAACACATTGAAAACCATTCTTGAATTACAGTACATAATTAACTTTTACTCTACTAATAGCAAATAAAACAATTATTTCAATGTTTTCTTTATAACTTATAATCTGCAATTTATTGTTGTTGGTATACAAATCCCTACTGAATAACATTTTCAATTTTTATAAGAAAAATTAGTTTCTAAAACCAAAAGAAGAGTTAGTTTGCATAGAAATTCGTAACTTCATTGATTGTTCGTGTATAATCGAAACTTGAGAAATGCTGCATTAAATTGTTGCAATCATTTAATGCCATGTTGATTTTGTAAAATTAATGTTAATAGTAACTCACCCTTTTAGAATATCTTGTGTTTTATATTCAATTTTTTCGTCAAAATAGGTCTTTCGGGCATACTCGATGCTACTAGGATCTACGTCGATAGCAACGAGTTTCTTCAATTTTGGGCATTTTGGTAAGAGAAAGTGTTTGGTAACTCTTCCTGGGCCACATCCAATATCTAATATAATATCGTCGTCGGACCATTCTATGTTTGGAAAGTGGAAATCCAGACATGATCTTACATAGAGATGTGCTACGTTTCTGGGTGTTCTATCGAAATCTTCAGCTGTTCCTTCCATACTTGACTGAAATTAATAGAAATGTCGATTCAGATAAGCAATATATTTATATAGTAAAAAAACTTTAGTTTATCTTTAGGAATATATTTCTGATAATGTCGTGTGACTTTATTTGCCACTGCCTATCAAGAGAAAAGTAAAATTAGTGATAAAAACGTTTTATTTCTTTACTTCTTTATTATAAACGCCCATTGTCAGCATTGATAGGAGAGATTGTGTGGTATTTAAGTAACACTGTGAGATTAAAGGTATCGAGATAATATATCATTTTCTGATATATCGTATCGCAATATTTTTTAATCTTTAAAAGAGTATTGTGACTTATCTAAAAATATATCTGAAAATATCTGAATAATTAGACATATGATACAGATCCGTTCGAAATTCGTGTTTGTTTACACTGTGTTTACAGAGATCTTTGTCCTTGACCGACTTCTCCTGTACTCGTTATTCTTTAAGCTTCTTTATCATCTGTATCGGTATCCATACTAATTTTGTAAATAACAGTAAGACATACGTTTCAAGACTTCTCGTTAAAACGGTAATTCAAGTAAAATAGTGATATTTTATTAGTTATTAAATCTTTAAAGTTCTAACATACCTATCACGATTTTTCATGCAAATAATACACATAAACACTTTATTGTCAATAAATAGCATGATAGTGTGACCGAAGAGTCGGCACCTCCTCGATGCCTTGTCAGGATGACATTACCGCGTCTTGGTTGACACGGAAACCTAACTAGGTTACGCGAGCGGTTGCATAACAGAGCGATTAGATTCTGGATGGAGGGAGTGAGAGATAGCACACCGGAAGTGATTCTTTCAGAGACTAGATTAACATAACAACAGTTTAGTGGGTAACGCTAAAAAATACATATCTTACAATATGTCGATAGATTCGATAGTAAGGTATTTTAACCTTACTATCTAATCTATAAGAACGGTCATTTAAGACCATTCTTGAGAGAGAGAGAGAGCTTACAATAGTTTGCGTGGCGATAAGTACCTGGAGTTTGGTTGATTCTTGAATAGCTGATAATTGATAATCTGGTTCTTGACTTAATCCAAAGTTCTGGCGACGACGTTAATTCAAGTTTTGTTTGGCACTTAATAAACTTTGTTGCAATTAATCCAAATAGGAGGCACGTAATAAAGTCAGTTACAATTAATCCGAATAGGTGGTACGAAAAATGTCCGTCTGACGACTTCTATCCAGAGGAACGGTGGCGACTGTGACGAAAATCCGTTTGTAGCTATATTCATTTGACAACTTTGCAATAATAGGTCGGAATGTTATGTGAAAGCGTCAGTAGTAGTGGTTTGGGCAGCTTTGACCACAAAATTAATTTTCTAATTACAAATTTAAATTAAATTTATACAAGTAAGAATTAATAGCGAACGTATTCATAGAAATAATACTGTAAAATATTTAGGTATTGAAATTGATAAATTACGATGTAATAATCATATAAATACTTTAACACTGTATTTATCTAGATTTATTGTAATACTGAAAAGAATAATTAGTTATTTAAATTTTGAGACTGTTTTGCGTTTATATCGCGCTTTAATGGAACCTAAACTGCGTTATTTTATTTCCGTATGGGGTACAGCTTTTTCTTTTGTATTAAATAGGTTTCAAGTCATACAAAACAACTTTATTAGAGCATTATACAAGTTACCATATAATTCTTCTGTCAGTTCTTATTATAAACAGACTAAAATTGCCAAAATAAAAGTTTTATATAAAAAACGAGTTCTTCTAGACAGCTTTAAGCAAATAAAAGTGAGCAGGAAAGAATCTTATATAACTGAAGAGTTAAATAAATACTTTAGGCCTTCTTACTATAACTATCGATGGAAAAATAATTTGATTCTACCAAACATTAAGCACTGTTTTGGCCGAGACGTACAAATCCATCAACTTATCGATATATATAACTGAAATGGTTTGAAAGAAGAATACAAAGATTTGACTATTTACAGGCAATTTAAACGGGCTGTGAAAAAAAAATCGAGCTGTGACTAGTTAAATTAATATGCCTCAATGTCCTTAATTTATTATTATCTTATTTCGTTCACTAGTACGTATCTATTAACAGTACTTATTAAACTGGCTTTAAGTGTAAGTCAAGGAGAACAATCGGAGGTGGATTGGTTTAAAAACTTACTGTTAATAATGTTTAACTTTAATGGCTTGGTGGAAATCGGAATATAAAGAATTAGCCCTGAAGTGAATGTGTCATTCAAATACCTGCTGAGGGACGAACACATTG